CATAACTATTATAAATGTGCAAAAACTTTGCAAGTCAAAGCAAGTCAAAATAAAAAACTATGTTTTGAAACATTTTAAATAAAGTGTGAGAATGTAGTTTTCAATTTTATGTTTCTCTTTGTTCATTTTTAATGAGTTTCGAGTTTTTGCTCTAGTCTTGTTTCTAATCATAAGTTCGTTGCCCTTTCTACCCAACATGGCTAAAAATTCTATTAAATTTGAGAACTGATTTGATTGGTAATATGTACAGTTTAGAATGTTAATAATCCACAGAAAAATCCACTGTTGAGCTACATCCTTTCAGAATTTATGAACTGTGAAGCTTATTCTCAAATACAAATAGCAGATCGTTAAAAATTTTAATTTGCAACATATATGGTAACATTATTTATCAAGCATAACGACTCATATAAAGTCAGTCTTCCAATGTGCTTCAAGCATTCAATAGATTAGAAAAGAAATCCCCAGACACCACAAAGGACTTAATTCTAACTACACTTGGCTCATGTTAGCAGAGTAAATGAGTGATAGACTCCCTCTGGTAAAGACAATGAACAACAAGGAAGAAGTTGCCAATGAACCTTGACTTTTTCTCACCTTGCTTAGGTTACTATAAAGCAAATTCACGCTCCAATGCATGACTTATAAAAGATGGAAATACACCACATATCCAGAATCAACTCCTCATTACTTTGCAAACAAATCTGAATGGCTAAATACTAATACCTCATTTTTATAAATAAATGCACACTTTACTAGAATAAATGGGTATCAGTTCATTGACAGAATACTACCTACTGCCTAAAAAACATTTTGGTATTGAGATTTATTACCAAAAATCATTTGATGCAGTTTTGCATAAGAGTAAAATTCCTGTTCTTAGTGGGAAAGATAAATTGCAAACCTTTTTATTACATATACAGATATATTGACTGTCATTGTAAAACTGACTGAAGAGATAGCCATTAAGCCTCACTGTATTTCTTAATGTCCCTTAAGTTCTATCATAAATTGAGATCATGACATTATGAGAGTATTTATAGAGTTAATACTTTCCAGTTCTCATCTGGGTCTATTCATTTTTTAAGTTCCCTGCCAGTACATGGAAGAGGCTGATTTGGAATTTGAGAAAACATCCAGAGACTTCTTCGAAAAGCTTTACTTTTCCTAAATTCATACTTCTTTTATTAGCAGATGTAAATTTGAAGGGGAAATACCATATACCTTAAGCCATTTGGGACTAGTCTGACTCTTAAGGATGACTTACAATTTTCATTTGAATGGAAGAGATGCTGAGAGCTTCAGCTCAAAACTCATCTGTGCTCTAGCCCTGAATCATTCCTTCAGTGAACTCTGCAGGCATTTTATGACAAACATACACATGTGTATGAAGTATGTGACCTCATTGGCAGTTATCTGTAGTGTCAAGAGCTATTGGCAGATACCCAAGAATTGATTGACATATATCTTACAGAACTGGAGTTAATTAATATGTCTACCAATTCCCCAATGTACCACAGGAAACAGAAAATCTGTTTAATACAGCAATCAATGACATACTGTGTGTGGTCAAAGGCATTCACTATAGAGTAAGACTAGGTTTTTGGAAGACTGTATTCAAGAATCTATATGCTGCTATTAAAATGCTAGAAAAGTAAAAGAAGTCATTTTTCATAAATGAAAGAACAGACTAGGAGATATTTGGCATATTGTTTTATCAGTACTTAAAAGCAAGTGGTAATTTTCTCTTATAAGATCTGAAGTTATAAAATGATGAATGGAGCCCTGATTTGCTTCAAAAGTAATGTCTTTACTTTTGTGGCATTTTGCCATCTAGAATGTTAAATCCATAATGTTATTTTCTATCACTAAAGTTTTTAAAAATCTTAGAAATTCAATGTAAGACAATGAGGTGTTTTAAAGGAAGAACACTGCTAAGAAAAAGGTGATTGTTAAAATATTGATGAAAGCCTTGAGAAAGCAAAAATCAAAATGTCTTATTTTTTTCCTACAAAAATCATTTATAATGGCAAAAGACTGGACCATCTTTTGAAAAGAACATTATATTCTATTATTTCATGTAATTTGGGGCAGGAATTTGCAGAGTATATATGCACTTCCTAAATGACAATTTAGGACAAAGGATTCTTTATCTGAAAAGTTACCCAAGTAAAAATGTAAGTTGGTAGATCTGAACTTCCCAAGAGTTATTAACTAAAATCCAAAAACCCCAGCTTCTGTCTTAATTTCTCTTTTCTTTCATACTCTTCCAAGATTTCCATTATTGCCATTCTTTTTCTAGCTGTATAAAGTACATACTGTCTATTTTACTCAACTTCACAAACAGCATAATCGGTTAAAGCCAAGGGTAGTATTTTAAGTACTAGTATAGATCAATTTAAAGCAGATTGTCTCAGAAGGCAGTTTAAGCATTGAAAATTAAATTTGATGTAGTCTAGACAAGCTATCTTGATAATATCTTTTCCAGAGTTTCGTAGATTGCCTGTCTAGACTGCTCTAAGTTCCCCAGGTAATTGTATAATCATCTTCTCTCTGACCTCCTAAACAGTCTGAAATGGGACTTCCCAATTTACAGTTTTCATGAACATAAAAATCATTGAGTTCTTTCTTAAAGGCTCTAAGTTTCGGATTTTCAGTCAAATACTTTCACCTCAAATCATTCCCACTCACTGGAGAAGTCTGTATGGTAAAGTCAATTTAATATTTCAGAGGAAGACATTGTGGACTAAGCCTGGATTTAAGCATTCTTTTACCAGCCCATCTATATGTAGAGATGAATAGTTGCTGAAAGAAATAGGAAATGTGCTGTTACTTTGATTAAATAGAAAACCAGAGTGGGAAAAAATATGGGGAAAACTGATAAAACTAGGGGGAAACATGGGATTTTATTTGAAGTGTCATCAATATTGTATAAGCCTCAAATTTTAAAAAGAAGGGATGAAAGTAAGTGCACAATTACCTCATAAAGGAAAGATTGTATGGTATAATTTACAGCTTCAGATGAAATGAGGGACATTTAAGGAGGAAAGTGACCTTTGCTATTAAGCAAAAGAGCAATAACTTTCACTCGAAATATATACTTTTATTTTCTAATATTAATTGCTCTTGATCAGCATCTGCTGCCTATAAGACCATTTTTAATTCTCATAGCAGCTATATAGACTCTTAGAACTTTCCAGACTAGAAACATAGGTATAGGAAAAGAAACAACTTACTTTAGAACAGGCAGTAAATATGGAGCTAAGGTTGGACAAAAACCCTACAGTCTGAGAGGAGAGTTCAAGGATGAGATTAGAATTTTCCAGTGTCTATCTCAAAAAGGTCTATGAGTCATGCAATGCTTCAAGGCATGGGAGGCAAAGGGAGGTAGTAATAAGTCAACATCTCGCTTGTATATACGGATATCTAGGTCCCCAAATATCAAATTTATTTTATCTATAATGAGACAGTCTTAGACAGCATGTGCAAATTTTCCAGTACTCTGTTATTAGTTGTAGAAAAGGATCTCTAAGGTTTGAACCCTCATGTGACACCAGAGCCTATGTTTTCTCTACGTATCTGCAATTAGCAGACTTCATAACCAACCATAGATGGCATGATTCCTGACAGGTCCAAAGTGCACAATCTAATGTGGACAGAGTTCTGCAGAACTATTTATGCAATTCAGAAAGTGGAACAATCATATTGTGTCTGTGTTTTAGAATATCTGATTGACTACTGAAGAAAATATCTGGGGAGGTAGCAATGAAGAAATGGTTTGATCAGAGGTGCTAAAATCTGTGTATAAACGTGAAAACAAATATTTGGGTTTCCTTTCCTAAAAATCAGTTTTCATTAGTAACTATTGAATGCAGCATCAGGGATAGGCAATGTGCTTGTGTGGAAGCAAAGAACGAAGCATGCATGAGAGGTGGATGGCCAAGGGCTATAGCCAAAATTGTTAAACTCTCAGAAAGTATTTTATCTTTCTAGACTCATGGGGAGATAAATGGAATTGTGTTTAACCTAGGAAATGTGACTTGCTCTACTAAGATACTACATCTTTTGAAGAAAAAGAATAGAGGCATATTAGACTTTCAGGTATTTTAAGAAAGTTTAAATTCTAGGATTTGTAGTGAAGTGGCTATCATGTGAATTAGATCTTATCTTTAGGAAAATCCCAGAAATATTCTGTGAACAAATCCTTTTGTTTCTCGAACATTTCTGAATTCCAACTTGGAAGAAAATTCTGTGACAAATGATTTTCTTACCACATGAACATTTTGGTTCTTCTCATGACTTAGTGCCAAAAGTTATAAAAAGATTTATAAGTAAAGGTAATTGATAAGCCCAACTCTCTGCTTTCAACATTAGCAATTTTAAAAAAATTTTAATGTTAAAATTTACCTAACTAGAATCCCCTTACTAAATTTTTTCTCTCAAAACATCTTTTAGCAGTAGTAGTTAAATAAAAGAAACATTTCTCTTTGTTTTGTGTGTCAAGATAATAATCAAGAATCAAAGCAAAGCTTAGCTGAAACAGAACTCCAATGTTAATAATTGGGAGGTCAAATGTAAAATCAGATCAAATCATCATGCTCATGGATGGCATCTTTTCTTAATTCTTAGGTAGAAGAAAACACTAGGTAGTAGACACTTCTAGCTGAGTGTGGAAATGGAGGACAAGCTGGCAGTATATAAATGAAAGAGAAAACAGTGCAAGCTCAGCCTGCTGACATCTGCTGCTTTTGCAGAATGGATTGGACTCTGTAATGCTGGGTGAAAACAAATGTTTTCTTCTGCCTTCCTCCTGTTCCACAGTTGTTGAGTGATGGCCTTATTCTTTTTGTATTCACAGATTAAAATTAAAAACAGCATCTGAATTTGAAATAGGTCCCAATGAATAGCAAATAGGCCCTAAATGAGCTGAAAAAGTTAGTAATGAAGCCTATGAATAGGAAAGGTCATGAATAAATAGCATTTTTGAAAGGCAGCTTTACCTCAGGATGATGTCCAACTTCAATATAGGTGCAAACTGGATGGAAAGCTCCAGTTCCACAGGCGTACAAATGAGTCTGATTATAAGCCTTCAGGACCTTGATGAAGTTAGCACATTCTTTCTGCAAAACAAAAGACAAGCAGTGAGCTCTAGCAGTTGGCCTGACTGAGGTACTGTCTAAGGTGCTGGGTGTCTCGGATCATTCATCCCTTTCTCAACTATTTCAGGTCTTATTTTCCATTGTATTGTTTTACACCTATTATTGCATGTATTAAAAATATAAACTTTTACCAAGTGCTGTTGCTCATGCCTGTATTCCTAGCTTCTTAAGAAGGCTGATATTTGAAGATAATACATCAAAGTCAAGGAAGAAAAAGTCCATAGGACTCTTATTTTCAATAAACTAGCAAAAAGCATAAAGTGGAAATGTCACTCAAGTGGTAGAGGGCCATCTTGACATTAAAAGCCAAGCAAGAGTGTGAAGCTTTAAGTTCAAACCACTCCCTGGCACAAATATCTATTATATCTATATCAATATCTATCTATTTATATCTATGTGTATCTACATATTTATATATGTCTCCTTCTCCACACACACACACACACACACACACACACACACACACACACACATTTTCCTTATTCTTGGGGATGTAACAAAATGATATTCAATGATATGATGTTCCATTACTCTTCACTAAAACTATTTTATTTGTACAAGAGTTGAATAAAATTTCCAGATAATCAATAAGATGATTTTTCTAGGCATGAGGAGAGAAGCAAAGTTTTTACACAATAAATTACCTAAACAAGATAATGATAAAAAGGTTTCCCTACAAAAATTAGTGATGAGTTTTAGGAAAGAAACAAAAATGACAGTTAACAGGAAAACCAAACATTATTAGTAATTTATGTTAAATTTTCAAATAGGTATTCACATTCTACATAGCATGAAGTGAATTTTTTTCTCTTGATTTGCTATTAGACTTCCTTAAGTTTTATTTTTGTTTGCCTGTAAATATTTGATAAAGAAGCAAATCTGTAACTGTAAATAAAGGTAAACATGCAGAGAAGACTGGAACATAAATGAGACAGACAAACCTTATCAGAGAACTGGGTCAGTCAGGAAGTTTGTGACTGTTCTAAGTCTGTAAAGTATTCTCTATGACCTTTGACTTCTCAGGTGTCTAGTCAGAGTGTATTTGCACCTATGTAGTCAGTTGGAGTTTATAACTGAAGTGTTATAATGATTTGAGTACATTTCCACATGAGTTTTGTATTCTGTCTTTGCAGCTGATGATTTTGTTCGTAACTCCACTGGCCCATAAAATAAGAACCAGACAACCAAACCTATGCAGAATAACTGACATTTAAATTCAAGGAACTGCTTTTCAGCAGAACTTATCTTTCTAAGACTAAATAGATTCATATCCTTTGATTATATAAAGAAGAATTAGTTCTACTTAAAGTAAAATATGAAAATCTCAATTTATGATATTTCCTTTGTTAACATAAGTAATTTATATGGGAAGAGGTAACTAGAATTTATATTTTCTCTACTGTTCTATCAAAAAAATCCCAAATGTTTCTTTTGTCTGTTAAAGCATTATAACAATTAAAATTATGCCCTGAATTCTGATGACTACAAGTTGTTCTATATGACGAAAACTTCCATAGCTCTAATTATGTACATATCCCCTTCATTTCTCACATCGAAGAGGTTACAGTTTAGGTAAAATGATGCAACAAATAAAACTTAACTTTCACTACTCTTAGGAACTCTTCATTCTCTTAAATTCCTCCTCCTTCCCCTGGAGGATAGGGCATGAATGTTTGGGCAGAGGAAGGAACTTGCGGAAGGAAGGGAAACATCTGATAAACTCATTTATAAATGAGGCATTCATGAATCTAACCCAAAGGATACATTTGTGCTCTTTTCGAAATTCAATCACGTGTAAAGAAGCCATTTTTCAGGAATATTTTACTTTGAAACATGTAGGTGGTCACACATTTTGTTTTCACATAAAGACAATCATCTCTCATTGTGGGCTCCATATTGAAGTGTACAAGATGATAAATAGCAAGTTCCAGCACCGTATGTCAAAACCATGATATTGGCTGTGTGTATCTTGGTAAGCAAATGGATATTCTAATAAATATAAAAGTGGCAGACCCAGATGGATGTCTTGTTCATTTTAGAAAAGAATAGGACTTTAGCTTGCTACCATGCATGTCATGATGTGCATGCCATTTTATACACCATTCCAATTTCTCTAGCTCTATCAGTGATACCTGAGTGCCTCCTAAAAAATTTAATAACAGAACACGGTTCTGCATAATAATAAAAGAAAATAATATATATCTATAAGAACTTCAAAACAATAGGAATGCTCATGCCACCTCTGAAAACATTATAGATATTATGAGCCTTTCAGTTCTAATAGATTAGATAGCTAATTAGCAATTTATCAGTGACTAAGTCTGTCCTTTCAAGGAAACTTAGCAGATTATAATTAATGCACAGAAACTCTCCAAGCTTTTGAGAGCCACAAAATTGGACCACACTGAACATCAAACTTCCAATTTGTTCTCTATTAACAGTTATAAAAAGAACCACTATACTATGACAACTATTCTTCTCCAGAGCCTTTGGAACAAAATCAATCACCAGACTATAGCTGTGAAACCTGGCAAAGGGCTCCAGTGAGAATGCTGATAACAAGAGAGTCTATCTGTGTTACAAAGCAACTAGGCCCACCCTATTGGCCTAAGGCCTGGAATGATCTCCTTTCCGAGTTGGCAGCAAGTTGTTTAGCTGCCATGCCCCTGGGCTACCTCAATATTATTTTGAAAGTGAACGCTGATGAAAATAAAGTGGGGAGCAATTCTGTGGGCTTCCAGGGTGAAAAGATGTTGAAAGGGAACAAAAGTATGGAAGGAAATACTTTCAAAATGGGTTAAAAATAGCTGAGAGAAGAATTCTCTGCCACAATGGAAGAGGAAAGGGAATTGAATGGACTGGACAGAGAAGGACCCAAAACTTGAAAGAGACATGTTATTAAGGATTTGTTCTTAACAGAAAGCCTACACAAAAGAGTATCAATCCTTTCATTCATCTGCCTTTACTTTCTGGTTTGTGGCTGCCAAGGTTTTTTGAGTGTTCCCAAACAGGATATTCATTTCATTTGGAAGCAGCTTGGACCTTCCTCTAAAAAAGAAGGAAACGTGGCAGCAAAAGGAAACACACTTCACACATTTCTGCTCTGGGGAGACAGAAGAAGAGTGTTTCTGACCTTTGCTTGAACCATGACGTTTCTTAAAACTCAGAATGTAATGTACTTTTTGGCATTAAACTACTGCTCTGCTTTGCTCAGCTCTGGTGGATTTACAATGTAATAAAGACAGTGTAATCAGTTTGAAATGAATTCATTATTCAAGCCTCATTTCTTTCTGGAATATACGTTGGTATACATAAGATGAGCTTAACAACAAGTCTGCTTCCGGAAGCCAGGCAAACTTACCTCTCATTTTACTGAAATTGATTCCACATCAACAAGACTGTGGTGTTATTAGTTTAGAAGTAAAGGTAAAGGCAGTTGTAATCCAGTAAAATCTAAGGCCACACCTGAGAAGCATTGATCATCTTCCTTATTGACAAACCTGCTATGCTTCCTTTTTAAGGGTTTCTAGTCTAAGTCTAGTGGGTAGTGGAAGTATTCATGAAAATATTAGCCTGAAGAAATAAATTTAAAGGAGTATCTATCACCAGAAGAAAATATAGATACACAAGAGCCAAATGCACACTGATTCAAAAACAAACATTGCAGATATCTAGTGATGATTAAACTGTGTTACACAGACTTTTCCTGGACGGTTACAAAAATAAAGTCCATCCATCTGTCAAAACAACTGCTCCATGCATGAAAATTAAAACAGAATTCGAGGTGTTTTTTAACTAATTTCCGATCATTATATGCTTTCTACAAAAAGAAGATAATTTTACCTCCAATTTCAATTACCTCCTTGCCTTTTCTTAAATTATGGATAGAACAATGAAAATTTACTCTAAACAAGGAAGAGGAAGATAGGAGAAAAGATTGTGAACAAGAACATTTGTATTTACATGCATTCAAGTTCAAGATTAATCCAACAATTTGTACTGATTCAAATATAATTCGAACCTAAATGAATGGGCATAGAACTGCATTGCCTCAGGTCAGTGAGAATTCATTTAAAAGACGAAAAAAAAGTTTTTAGCTCATCAGTAGTTCCTACAGAAATAGTTGAACATCATATTAGCAGCTGGGAAAGCAAAGGGAACCTTTCTATTATGAGTAGATACATTTCTGCATGAAAATCCATTAATAGGCTTAATTCCTGTAGTTAATCTGTTGACTTTTTCCCCCCTCTGGCCAATTTATTTGGCAAGCTAGCTGAATACTTGAATCTTCATGCCAAACCAGTAATCCATGAGATTGTTCCTGTCACTCATTTTATCTTTCCCTCTATTTAATCTGTATCATACTTATTTGACAATAATGTTTTCATTTTTGTCTTTGCAATGTGCTGTTATAGCATTGATCTGACCATTCAAAATCAAGTATTCCTAATAATTCATCATTCACTAAAGATTATTAGAAATTTATTCTTCAAAGAGATCTGTCTACTAAAACTAACATACAGTCCATTTATAATTATCACATTGTCCATTTATAATTATCACATTGTCCATCTCTTGTTGAATACATGATGTGGGATTCTTTTGGGACAGGGTCTTGAACTTTAACCCAGTCTAGCCAAGGACTACAGATCATCCTAATTTCTGGGATTATAGGTATGTGTAATGACACTTTTTTTAGTGTCTACCTTTTTAATGTCTCCCTTTATTCAGTAGGATGTTTTGTCTGTCTTGAAAGATATTTTTACCTTTGTTATTTAGAAATCATGGCATAAAAGAATCAATTGACCTTTCCTCATTGTTTTCTGTCTTAATTTCAGAAACTTAAATATTACTAATAGAACTAAAGTTACTGTCATTTCATAGGTAGTTAAGTCTGTAAGCATATTCATATTGACTTAATTGTATTACTATTATGCTTATAATTCAATATAAACTTTAAA